TTTGACAATTGTCTGCGGAATGAAATCATCAAAGGGCAACGTACCCTTTGATGGTTGAAGCTTAAATTTGAAGATATATTCGCTGTTAGTCGTTCCTAGTTTGAGTATCTCCTAACAAATTGAGATATACATGTAAATAACCAACGCTTTTTCTTACAATTTAGACCATTTTCGAGCTCTGAGGTAGATGGGAGGAATAATCGTCTAATTGAGCCGGAGTTATATCCCACCTCCTTCAAAGATCTTTTCTACGTTTCAAGATTATCTTATAATTTTTCTTCTTGTTTCAACATCTACATTATGCTGATATAATTGGTTGATGGGAGTTTAAAAAAACCTTAGTAATATAAACTTTTATATTACCCTTATATTAATTAAGTGACATCTGAAAAATTATGACAAAGTTATTTACAAAATTTATAAAGAAAGACAACTTATTTGATTATATAAAATATACATAAATGAAGAAATACAAACACAATTAACTACATTAATCAAAAATGGGCCCACTCAGCTTTAAGTTCGCCAGCAACACTGATTTTCAGTGTGCCTATACTGTATTGGAGTGACAGCTATAGAATTCCAATTATATTACAACAGGAAACTGTCAAGTTAGAACCTAGGACCTTAGGACTACGATAATATACCCAATATGATATATGATAGGGGTTAGGGTTAGGGTAGAAGGACTCCTTTCTCCGCAATTAGACTCGTGGTTGGTCCGTTGTGCGTACGAGTCCTGGCTAATTTAGCCAGCCTAGCTCCTTCCAGAAGCACAGAAGTCTCCTGGGCACTTCACAGGCTTCCCGGAGCGACCTCACCGTTCCGAGGATTTTTTCACGTTGATTAGCCACAGCCTCGCATTCCAGGACTACGTGGGTGACTGTTTCCTCTGCGCTGAAACAGCCTCTGCACAGGGGGCTGTCTGTCGCGCCTAGGATAAAAAGATGTTTATTTAGGAGGCAATGACCCGTTATTGTCCCTATCATTATTTTAAGGTCTATTTAAGTTAAGTAGTCGCTTTGTCAGTTGCGGGTTTACTGCTGGCAGAGCCACTTTGGACTGTCTGCAGGCCGCACCATGCGACCATCGTTGTTGCTGGAGTTCAGCGGATCTCTGGCGAATCCAGGTTCGCACCAGCGAGAAGGGCAAAGGAAGGAGCGGATACGGGCCAGCAGGCATCATTCCGGAGCCTCTTCTCGCAAGCTCGTCCGCAGCATCATTGCCGAGAGATCCACTGTGTCCCTTAATCCACTGCAAGGTAACCCTATTGGTTCGGGTTATGCCCTCCAGTGCTTCATGACACTCCAGTATTAGTTTGCTGTTGGTTTTTTTGTTTCCGAGCGCCATCAGCACGGATGCACTGTCGGATACGAATTTAATGCAAAAGTCATTAATTCCTAGCCGCTGCACGGCTCTGGCTGCTTCGGTTAAGGCGACACATTCACATTGAAAGATCGTGCTCTGTGTGCCCAAGGGTAGGTGTATGTTGATGTTGAGATCAAGAGAGAATATGCCAGCGCCTGAGCCAGACCCTGTTTTGGATCCATCTGTATATATACGTAGCTCATTTACGGTCGACCGATCATGTTCCTCTTCTCTCAGTTGTATATGATATTTCCTGTTAAATATTAGTTGGTTAGTGATTCTATCACAGGGCGCAGCAATAAGAGGTTGATACTCTATTGCCCTGTTGAGAATCGCTGTGTGTGCACTGTAGTGATTTTTTCCCCATAGATCCAGTACCATAAGCCTGTATGTGTAGGTCCAGGGGTAAGATCTGCAGGGCCATCTCCATTGCTGCAGTTGGTGTTGTTTTCATGCAACCGCTAGCAGCGGACAAAGCAAGCCTCTGGAAGCGTCCGAGTTTGGTAATTGCCGTTTGAAGTTCTGTTCTGGGCCACCAAACAAGGGCTCCATAGGCTAGCATTGGCCTAATTATGGCAGTGTATATCCATAATGTTATCTTAGGCGATAAGCCCCATTTCACGCCTAGCATCTTTTTGCATTGATAAAAGGCGATCGTTGCTTTGTTTAGTTTGTGTTCTAGATGTTTGTTCCAGAGCAGTTTACTGTCCAAAATCACACCCAGGTACTTGATTTCATTCTTGAGTATGAGTTCAGTGTTGAAGAGTTTCGGAAGTTTGTACGGTCCAAGAACTCTTCGGTTGGTAAAAAGTATTAGTTCTGTTTTTGATGGGTTGACAGATAACTCGTGCTCATTGCACCATCTCTCAATCACTTTGAAAGCTCTTCTCATGAGGTCACATAAGGTGCTTTCAAAGTTCCCAGATATCAAGATAGCTATGTCATCAGCATATCCCACAGTGTAGAGATTGTCAGCGTTGAGTTCAGTGATTAGTTCATTAACCACCAGGTTCCACAGTAGCGGCGATAGAACACCTCCCTGCGGACATCCTCTGCTGACAATGCCTCGTGTTGTGGAGTTTACCGTGAACTGTATAGCTCGTTGTTTTAGCATGTTGTTTATCCATTCTATAAGGGTTGATGGTACTCCACATGACCTTAGTGCTCTGGTTATACTCGTGAAGTTTGTTTTGTCAAAAGCACCTTCGATGTCAATGAATGCACCAAGGGTTGACTGCTTTAACTTCAGGGAGTTGCCAATGCGAGACACGACGTTGTGGAGTGATGAGTCTGTTGATTTGCCCGAGCTATAGGCATGTTGATTAGGGTGTAGGAATTTGGATAGCGATACCCGGCTGCGTATCTCCAGGTCTCCCAGCCTCTCCATCGTTTTTAAGAAGAATGAAGTAAGGCTAATAGGCCTGAAGGACTTCGCTTGGGTATAGTCCTCTTTACCTGGTTTTGGGATGAATAAGATTTTTACTTCTCTCCATTTCAAGGGTATGTATCGGTGGGCTATACAGGCTCGGAAGACAGAGACAAGATAGTCTACTATTAAGTTCCCACTCCATCTTAGTAGTCCTGGGAAGATGCCGTCCAAACCAGCCGCTTTGAATGGAAGGAAGGAGTTGATTGCCCACGTTACTTTTTCATTAGTGATTATTTTGTGAGCTACTTGCCAGTCTGAGCTGTCGGTGGCTCTCTCTGAGTATGGTTGCCAGGCCTGTTCGTTGGCAATTATGCAACCCGGAAAGTGTGTTGCCAGTAGTAGTTCACATGTTTCTGAATCAGTTTTTGTAAATGAATTGTCAGGTTTTTTAAGACAACCGATCGAGTGATTGGGCTCTCTGGAGAGGCATGATTTCACCCTGGTTGCCTGGTTGTTGGTTTCAATACTGGTGCAGAAGTGTCTCCAACACTCCAGCTTCCTAGTACGTAAAAGTTTTTTGAATCGCCTTCTCGCGACCGTGTACTTGTCCCAGTCGGTGGGTAACCGTGTGTTCACTGCTCTATTGAACAGCTTCCTGACCTTCCGTCGGTGTCTCTCCAGTTCGGGGCACCACCAGTTATGTCTCCCTCCCCATCTTGGTATGGTAAGGGGACACGACCGTTCATAGCTTGTCAGGAGTAGGGACGTTAGGTTGTTTACATGTTTGTCTATGTCTTGTATATTTATGGTGGTTGGTATCGATAGTTTGTCTACCTCGGAGCTGATAAGTCTATAAAATTTTACCAAATCGGTTCTCCGCGGTATACGTCTAGGTTGAGGTTTAGGTAGCTCCCCTTTGAATGCAAAGCGGATCCACCTATGATCCGAGCATGATAACTCGTTGGATACGTGCCAGTCCTGTATGTGATCTGACAGACCAGCAGTTACCATTGTTAAATCAATAATAGTTTGCGAACGCGCGTTGATAAAAGTTGGTTTTGAGCCATTGTTAGCCAAGATAAGGTTATTGCTAAGTATAAAATTAAGCATATCCTCACCTCGAGTGTTGGTATTAGCGTTACCCCATAACGTGTGGTGCGCATTGGAGTCCGCCGCGATGATTAGCTCCAGTTTCTCCCTCTCACAGTAGTCAGCCAGAAGGCCGAGTTCTGGAGTGGGCACGTCCTCGTCACCTGGTAAGTAGGCGGACGCCAGGACGACGTCTGGTTGATTGTTTCTGGGTAACCTAATAGCTGTAAGGTTCCTTGAACAGAGTTCGTTTATTAGAAATGCTGGTACATGTTTAGGCAAGATTATGCAAGTTCTAGGGTTACTTACGGAGGTATCCAGTAAAAGTTTACCACCGGTGCTGCCCAGGCCACATGTCTTGCCATTCCTGATCCACGGCTCCTGGATCGCGGCGATGGTCTTGGTTGGTCTCCAGCAGTCTGTAGGGAAGCCGACGCTGTCTGATGTGCTGGAGGTTAGCCTGATGAGTCAGTAGGGATGGGAGGAGGAGAAGCTGTCGCTGAATTCACTCCCCGGTCTCCTGAAACAACTCATATCGAGTTGTGACGGTGAGGTGATGTGTAGCTACCTCCATAGGGACGTGTGCCGGTGACGAAACTGCCCCCGTAGAGACGTGGGCAGCCCCGGCCCGATGACGCCACCCCGATGTGCTGGCAGAGTTGGTGGGGCGTTGGCCACCTGGAGGGTCCATCTCTATGGATGCGGATATAGATGTTCCCCATCAGGTAGTATAAACGCCGATTATGCTTTTGATTTTAGAGATCTCGGCTCTGGCACAGAAAGAAGAGGGACAGCCTGTCGGGTCCTGAGTTCTTCGTTGTGTGTCAGGTCCAGGATCTGATGTTGAGGTGGTGCTCGTGATAGTTTCCAGTGTTTCGTGTTGACTGTAGTCTGGTACATGTAGAGAACGGAATCCTGTGGAATCCTTGAGGCCGAACCACCAACCTGGTGTAGGTACTGGATTTGTGATGACATAAAGTTCCGGTCAGCCAACCCAGAGTGTAAGTGTCCTCGACAAGTTTTGAGGACACCATCCGAGAAATGGGCCTTACGAACCTGATGTGTTGGGTCGGTAGTTAGGGTAGCATCAAGATCCGCAGGAGCTCATCTTGAATTTACCCATTTGTAGGCGGATGTTATCCGCGTTCTTGTCATATCCACGAAAGGCTCAGTATCACGGAACACAAAGCTCGTTAGTTTGTAGATGTGGGTACTGGGAGGTTGCACTGTCTGGGGTTTGTTTGGTTTGACCCTTTACTTTCCCCGTGGTAGGTCTCCTCTGGCGGTGGTTCTGGCCTTCGTGGATTGGTTTGTTGGAATGTCCTTGCCGCACCCAGAGAGCTAGGAGGGGCAGAGTGGATCTTTTAGGTTGGTGTCCTTTCCCGCCTCTCTCAATGTGGTTAAGCGGGGGCAGTTCCAGGTTTAGAGGTGGTGGGCGCCGGTGACCAGCTTCTGTGTTGGGCCTTAAGGCTCTCCTGGCGTCGCTTTTAGAGTTGCTCACGACCATTTTGAAAGTCGGCTCCTGAATTGGGTTAGGGCCGAATATCCAGTGGTAGAGGCCTCGTGCAGCTGTTGGATGTTCTTGCGGGAAGACCCTTAGAGGAGACAGGCTGTATCATCGTGGAGTTGTATCTTTGGTCGACCGACGAGTAACTGGCGGAGTGGTCACATCCTTGTGGGTGGTATAAGGGATTCCATCGTTGGGAGGGGAGTAGCCGGATTGGGCCCAGCGTGCCCTCTTTTGGGGTGGACGCGTGAGGGTGATCCGTGTGTGGAAGGGGATAGAGTATCGCGACTGGTGACTTGACGCGACACGTCAAAGACGCAACCCTGGGTTTGTTGGTGTTAGTGATAGTTTTATTAAGTTTTTGCCTCTTTATCCATGAGGTGATATGGTTTGAATTACCATTGGAGCTTCCACGCCACGGAGCCCTCAGTGGGGAGTCCCTTGTCAGCAGGACTCAGAGCTACTCCTCCGGTATAGAGCAGAGTAGGGAGGCAGACGATCCGCACGCAGCAAGGAAGTACGGAGCTGTTCACGCCACGAGACTATGACGCAAACTCACCCCGAGTCCCGTACCGCGCCGACGGCCCCCCCCACATCCCGACTCTCGCTCGGCAGCCCGCTTATGGGATGCCACAGCCGGTTGACCGTAGTTAGCTAAACCCCGGCCTCCCGTGTGAGGAGAAATCCAGACCAAAGAGGTGTGTTGTGTGCAGCGCACAACTGTTCCGGCGCACTACTCCACTCAACCCCCAGGATTCCTTCATCCCCCCGTACGGGTCCCCGCGCACGGCACAAACACGCGGGAGGTCATTTACTGTCCACCGTCCTTCCTTTTTGGACGATGAACTCGCAAGGACATGACCTCTCCATCCCTGCAATGGTTCGCTTGGCGGTTTTAGTTACGTCTAATACATAGGGTATTAGACCAAGAACAGGGTCGGCAACCTCGAGAAGGTTAGTCCACCAAACTTGCTTTGAGGGGATCATAGCGACTTGCGCTACCCCCAAAAGCCACGCCTCCCTACCCATCAGAAGGATGTGGTAGGGTGGGTTTGCACCTATGCTACCATGCAAGCATGTCGTACTGGGAACCGTAGAAGCATAGACCCAAACCCCCCTATGATATATGATATAAAAAGTAATAATTATAACTTGTGTGGCTTGCTTAATAAATGAAACGACTCGACTGATGTATTTCCCAATGATGATGTATAAATCATTTCGACTTAGAGTCCTTCAAGAAAGAGCGTACCATTTCATTAAAGGCCGGTAACGCACTCGCGAGCTCTCTTTTCTGTTGCCCTTGTTCTATAAATAAAAAAAAAACTGTCTTCCTGGTTATAACCACGTCTATAGCTCAATTTGTCTACGGTTAATCAGTGAATCCTCTCGGTTCGATTAGCATCACTATTTCTTTAATACCTCGTCTACACAGAAGTCGTATCGCCTGCAAATTACTGCCCCTTCCCCATTGGCACAGTATTACAACTTAATAATAATAATAATTCGTTTATTTACAAAGAAAGTAGTACATTCAGATTGATTAATTATAAAAAAAAACACCGCACAATCAGCCATATAAAAATAGGCATGCAAATCTTATATTAATTATCATGATTTCATAATAATAAGAACAGATAATTATAATCGTTGTCAAAACTTATGGTCTAAATACCCACGATATAAAGGCATTGCCTTTAAAATTTAATCACCTTCCCCATGACGATCCCCTTACACAATGTATAACTTCTAAGAAGGTGATTAAATAGTTTGATAGCCATGGTGTAACAACATTTTGAATACAACGTGGTGCAACATGCAGGTACCCACAGCCGGGTTGGATCCGGTAGATACAGGCAAGTTTCTCTAAATGTTTTAAATAATTTCATAACTGCTACTAGGTTAACCTAACTTAGTACATTACAAAATGTTTATAACGTCATTAGGTATAACGAAAAACTCTCTATAACGTAAGAATTAGATAAATTTATCTATATATCTCCATAAAAGGATACCATAGCGCAGAACTGAGAAGACATAAGCAATATTTGCAAGTTCTATAGTGTCTAAATTATGAAGAATAATTTCTTATAAACCATTTCTTTTAACAATTTATCTAAAAATAATACAGACTAAGCCAATAAACTGTTGAACAATTATTATTACTTAAATATAAATGTGTTAATTAGTTATACAAATAATTCTAGATTATACACACTCTTTAATGTACAACAGTACCAGTGTTTCATGATTACGTACAGTCTAAATTTCAAATGAGTATCCCGGGGCGTCCGCATTGTCTTAAATTTCAAATGTTCGTCTTATGAAGTTCTTAACGAAGGAGATATTGTTGAATTGTAGTCTCTTTGATATTGCGCGCTAGTATTTCGTACATTTCCCTATTGTACATGCAACAATATTTAATCTCGCCTGTTTACGACTGACCAATTCGTATGTAGCTATCTTTTATTTAGTATGTGTTCTATGATAACTGTGAGCTCGTGCGGTAAAGGAAAATATCGTGAGAAAACCAATCACATTTTCATTCACAAAAGTATTCAAAATTTCCCAAAAAAATCAAGAATGGAATTGCATTATATTATCACAGGAAGATTCACCTAGTATTGATTTATTCATCTACGAACAGGAGCGAAAACGCAAACTTTTTCTCATAAGTATTCGTAGGAACTTATTGTACCAGTTGGGACATTGTAGAAATTCAATATTGAAATCCATACTTCAAAACTTACAAAAAAACTCTAACTAATTTGAACGAAGAACGATAAAAGTTGGAACTCACCTCCAATGGCGCGGAGAAAAACTTTACTTTTTCAAAGTGATTTATTTTCCGTACATTTTTGAAGATCCCTGAAATATATGAATTTTTTTTTTGTGTTCTTGTTCATCTGCAATCGGCTATCAGCCATAATCAGATATTTTCTGAGGTTAATTTTGGTTGGGTGCGATTCCATTGAAAGGCACCGTAAGTGTTGGTAGAAACTGGATTTTTATTGTAGGTCAGTTTCTCTGGTCTAGGTCTAGTATTTGCCATCTTTTTAGGCGAGTTACATCATCTCCTGGGGTTAGCAGATTCTTAGCCAGTTCATTTGTATGTTTGGTTAACCTTTCCCTGTATCTACTACTGTTTTTGCGGATTACTTCCTTTACGGTTGGCATCTCCAGATATTCGTGTATTTCCGTGTTTCTCACAAACCAGTGTGCACATGAAATAGTTCTCAGTGCAATGTTTTGAAATCTTTGGAGGATTTCGATGTTAGAATTGCTTGCACAGCCCCAGAGTTCTATTCCATATGTCCACACTGGTTGTATGATGGCCTTGTACACAAGCAATTTGTTACTCAGGGTCAGCCTAGATTGCTGGCCTAGAAGCCAGGATAGCTCTTTGAATTTCAAGGTGGCTTCTGTTTTCTTGGCTTTTATATGATTAGCCCAGGTCAGTCTTCTGTCCAGATGTAGTCCGAGATATTTCACGCTGTTTTTGCTTGGTAACGGTTTGTCTTCTATATGCACAGGTGGACAGTCGCCCTTTCGCAGTGTAAATGTTACTTGTATTGATTTAGTTATGCTAGGCTTGATTCTCCACCTCTGCAGCCACACGTTCACCTTATTGAGCTGTTCCTGTAGTTTCAGTGAAGCGTTATTCGCGTTCACATCGCTTGCAAGGCATGCAGTGTCATCTGCGTATGTTGCTGTTACGACATTTTCTGTTTCAGGCAAGTCTGCCGTATATATTGAATAAAGGACTGGGCCAAGCACTGATCCTTGTGGAACTGAGGCAGTGATGTAATAGAGCCTTGAAAGTTCCTCCTCATACTTTACTTGGAATCTTCTTTGATCTAGATAAGATTTTAGGATCATATAGAATGAGTTTGGTAGGAGGGTTTTCAGCTTGTACAACAATCCTTTGTGCCAAACTCTATCGAATGCCTGCTGAATATCTATGAATACTGCTGAACAATATTCTTTTTTCTCTAGCGATTGTCTTATTTTGTGAACCACTCGGTGTACTTGTTCTACAGTAGCATGTTTTTCCCGGAAACCAAATTGGTGATCGGGTATAATTCTGTTTTGGTCCAGGACTGGTTTTAGTCTCCGCAGAAGAGTTTTTTCAAAAACCTTAGATATTGTTGGGAGAAGACTTATAGGCCTGTATGAGCTAGGTTCTGTTGGGGGTTTCCCTGGCTTTACAATCATAATTATTTGTGATATCTTCCATAGCTTTGGGTAGTACTGTATTCTAAAAATGGCATTGAATAACATTGTTAAAAGTACTATTGCTTTTCTAGGAATATATATATTAAAAAAAAATATAAATATTATTCATATATTATATAATATATAATATATGAATAATATTTTTTTCTAAATCATATGGTCTATTGTCCTATGATTTTCGGTTACGTACAAAAAATTCAGTTACGTAAAAAAGTTTACTAACGTATTAACTGCTACAGTTTAGAGGTCTTTGCACGATAATCCGATAGCAATCGTAATTATTGACGACAACTTAAGAAGCGCGCCGTAAGCGTTTTTGTAAATAAATAAAATTCCTGTTGTTGCAATGTAGTTTCTAAAAACACAAAATTATTGTTTTTTTTTTTAGGTTAGCGGGCAAACAAGGCTACAGGGTGCGCAACAAGGCAGTCATCGCAGCCCATTTTAGTGGCTGCGTTGCCGGCCTTTGAGGGAGGAGTATGCTCTTTTTTTAAATTAATTTTGACTTATAATAAATAAATATATATATTATAATGTTCGGAAATATTTTTTCTACTACATATCAACATTCTATGTAAGAAAAACGTTAATTACGCCATATGGATGGGTAACTGATAGTTCAATAAAATTCCTATATTACTAAGAGAAAATTAAATTTAGTAGAAATAAAATATACATTTGCAGTTGTTATTTTTATGCGTTACAGCAACATTTATGTCACTGTTTAGAGTTTAACATATCAAACATCACACTTCAGAAATAAT